TCCAAAGAACTCCCTGTAGTATTCTTTGTAAGTTTGGTCTGGTTTTTACAAATCTTTTAAATTTTTATTTGTCTGAAAATGACTTAATTTTGCCATCATATTTGATAGTGGCTCCATATGATAAGCACTGAACTGTGAACCACAAGGTTTTTGCGTGGTTCCAGCCCGTCAGCCACTCCACAAGAGAAAAATGATGCTTTAAAACCTCAGAAACCCTATACAGGGTCACTATGAGTTGGAATCAACTTTATAATACTAGCAGCAACAACAACAACACATTTGATGGGCAGTTTTACTGGATATATGATTCTTGGTTGGCATTTTATTTTGTTTTTTCAGAGTTTTGTTAATGTTGTTCCATTGTCTTCTGGCCAGCATAGTTTCTGCTGAAAAATCAGAGTTTACTCTTATTAGTTTTCCTTTGTAAGTAACTTTTTGTTTTTCTTGAGATCCTCTCAGGATTCTTCCTTACCTTTGGTTTTGCAAAGTTTGATTATAATATGTCTTGGTGTTTTTCTTTTGGGGTCTATCCTATTTGGAGTTCATTCAACTTCTTGAATGGCTATCTTTTTGTCTTTCATGTTCTTCCAACAACTCTTCCAACTTTGTGTGTGTGTGTGTGTGTGTGTGTCTTCCTGTTCTGGAATTCCTATCTTATGTGAATTATTCCTCTTGATTAATGTCCCACATTAATTTTAGTATTTCTTCAGAATTTTTTTTTTTTTTCTGATTGTTCCTCTAGCAGATGAAAATTGAGAGATTTTTCTTCAAGCTCAGAGATTCAACTTTCCATTGATTCAATTCTGTTTCTTTGCCCTTTCAGTGTATTATCTATTTTTGAAGTCTTAGTGGTAATCAGTCTTCTGACTTTCTAATTGCTGTTTTGTATGGCTCCCATTTTTTCAGGTATTTTGTGTTTGTTTTCTTAAGTTTGTCTGTTTTCCTTGATTTCATCTGGCGTTTTCTCGATCTTTCTCTTAGTTCATTGAAGTTACCTAATTAGGATCCTTTAAAGTTCCTTATCAGATAGTTCTGATAGCATTTCTGGTGTTATATTTTTAGAGTCTGGATTTGAGTCACTTGTTTGCAGCACTCTGTCTTGTTTCTTTGTGTAAGCTGAAACCATCCATTTTCTCCAAGACATTGTGGTATCATATTTATATTTAGTTGCTGATTGTATGCACATTGGTGTGTTCTCAGGCACTCACCACCTGGTAGATGTGGTAGAGATTGGAAGTATGAATGCAGTTAGTATTCTGTTCATTGCCTCCAGAAGCAGGGACATTATGTCAGGTGCCCAACCCCAGGCAGAGCAGAGGCTGAGCCGGAAGCGCTGCCATTGGCTGCTAAGTTGGCCAGGGTGGGGACTAGCCACACCCCAGCTGCAGGAGGGCTTGGGAACAAGAAGAATTTCAGTCCCTTGTTGCCAGCCTCCAACTGCGTCCTGTGCTCATTGGACACGGTATCAGTGGTTGTTGTTGTTAAGTGCTGTCAAGTCAGTTCCGACTCATAGAAAGTAGTCACTTGCAAAAAAGGTCAAGATAGCCTTGCCACCCCATGCCACACCAGCCCACAATTCACCTTTTTTTCTCTCTCACTGCTCCTGTTCAGCTTCCTCTTCCAGTCAGCACCCAGTTCACCTCTCTGTCTTATCCTCTGATGTTTAGGGTACCAGGATCACCATCTATATCTGTTTCACTTGGTCTTCCGTGTCTTTATTGCAGAGGGTTGGCTCAGTGCATCTGTCTACTCCGCCATGTTGGCAGGACTCTGTCAGTTATTTTTTTGACTATTGCTTTGTCATAATCAGAAGTCTCTATGGCCTTGAAAAGACTTATAGAGGAGTCAGTTATTCCATCCCTCTGCCTCTAAGCTCAGTTCCATCTTGGGTTTCAGAAGCTGCAAGGAATGTGTTGTTGGACCCTCACTTGGACACCTATTTCAGTGTCACATGGTGAGTTTTACAGTTCAGACTTCTTTGCTATAGTCCGGTTCTTACTAGGTTCATATCAGGAGATGGACGCGTTCAGACAGTACCACTGAACAATTTGACACACATAACCAGGGGCTTGGCACTGGTATAGTATGGCCACATGGTATAGTGTGTAGTGTGCCCAGATTGCTTGGAGGTAATCTTTCCACATGTGAAGTTTAATTAAGCAAGCAAAGGGCTTTAGGAGATATTTCAGGCTAGCATTGTTCAAGGATTCTATACCAGTTCTTTGAAAAGCAAATTGCCAAGAGCCAATTTACTAGAGGCCAGTTCTCAAAAAATGTTTGCCAGATGACCAATTTGCTAAAAACAAAAAGATGCTTTAAACCAGGACTAGTATCTTTTGTGATGATTGGTGGCACAGTGGGCTAAGCATAAGGCTGCTTACTGCAAGCTTGGTTGTTCAAACCTAGCAGCCACTCTGTAGGAGAAAGATGAGGCTGGCTGCTCCTGTAAAGGTTTACAGTCTCAGAAACCCTATGGTGGTGGTGGTGGTGGTGGTGGTTATGTGCCGTGGAGTCGGAACTGACTCATAGCAACCCTGTACAGGGTTTCCGAGGCTGTATATCTTTACGGGAATAGAACGCCTCATCTTTCTCCCATGGAACAGCTGATAGTTTCGAACTGCTGACCTTGTGGTTCACAGCCCGATTCGTACCAGAGCTCCTTCAGAAACCCGATGGAGCAGGTCTATTCTATCTATATGATTTCTTTGAGTTGCAATTGTCTCAATTGTTGTTGGTAAGTGCCGTCGAGTTGATTACGACCCATAGTGACCCTGTATAGGGTTTCTAAGGAGCAGCTGGGAGCTTGAACCACCGACCATGCAGTTCAAACGACTTTGCAGTCTGACACATTAGCTCACAGCATCACACCAGGACTCCAATAGTAGTGGGGATGTTACTCCTCAGGGACAAAGACAAAGTATAAGTCTGGGGGGAAATTTTTTTGACTAAGTGAGTTGACTTCCTTTAAGGAATAGTCCATCTGTTTGCATGAAAAAAAATTCAGAGGCTGAGGGGAAACCAAACTTTAAAAGAAACTCTCAACAATGAACTGAATTGGTAATTGAATGTTTGTTTTTTGTTTGTTTTTATTATTGAAAGCTTATGCTTTGTTCAGATTTCCTTCATTGTTTCTCCAGTGCCCCTTTTCTGTCCACGATCCCATTCACAACAGATACCACCATTAGTTGTTTAGGGTCTTTAGTCTTTTCTTGGTTGTAACACTTTTTCAGACTTTCTTGTTTTTGATGACGTGAATACTTTTAAAGAGTATGGCCAGGTAATTTATAGGGTGTCTATTGACCGGGATTTGTCTGATGTTTTCCTCGTGATTATACTGGAGTCAGAGGTTTGGGGAGGATGAACACAGAGAAAAAGTGCTATTTTCATCATATCATATCAAGGATATATGCTATCAACATGACATCATTGCTGACCTAGACCCTCACTGTCA